AAATCAATCAGTGGCAGCTCTGTTTTTTCCACCCATGTTTCAACATCTTACTATGTAGACAGTTTCACAGTACAGCAAATTCTGAAACGCATTAATTGCAGCACTATGACAGTTGCATGGCAACAGTTCTGTTTGTAGAAATCATAGCTTCGCTCTTGATATTTTATTATATGCTTGTCGACAAAAATAGATTATTTATTTATTTATTCTGCTTGTACACTGCCAAATCAATACAGACTCATGGCGGTTTTTCAAAAGAGTCAAGAAAAAGCATCTATAGCAGGGGTAGTCAACCTTGGCTCTTTTATGACTCGTGGAGTTCAACTCCCAGAATTGAAGTCCACGAGTCATAAAAGAGCCAAGGTTGACTACCCTTGATCTATAGCAATAATACAATACACTGTAACTATAAATAAACTATTAATCATAATAAAATATTCATGGAACACTTTTTGGAGGTTTCCAGAATATTAGAAGGGAGAGAGTAAAGTTTAATTCTAATTAAAAACAACTAATTATTAGTCAAAATTATATGAAAATTAAATTAATTGTAATACAAATGAAATAAAATCTTACAAAACTAAATGCTAGCTTTTTTTTTTGAGTGGGATGCCTTTGAGTCAGTGTTGGCTCCTGGCAACTACCTGTACCCTTGGCAAGATTTCTGAAGTGGTTTGCCATTGTTTGCTTCTAGCGCTGAGAGAGAATGCCTGGTCCAAGGTCACTGAGTTGGCTTTATGCTTAAAGCAGAACTAGAATTCATGATCTTCCAGTTACTAGTCTGGTACCTTAATCACTACAACAAGCTGCCTCAAATAATAAAGTAAAATAACGTAAATTTAATAAATAAATTCAAGATAAAGATAATCATAACAAACTATTCATGGAACACTTTCTGGAAGAGTTTCCAGAATATTAGAAGGGAGAGAGTGAAGCTTAATTGTAATTTAATTCTACTCTAGAGGCACAGGGCAACACTCAACAGAAATATAAAACTATACCATACATGTGATCCTGAATAGTCATAATTTATTTGTAAGACTTATACATAAAAGGTTGCAAATAAAAATAACAAAATAAAGAACAAATAAACAAGGTCAATAACCTCTAGCTAGTCATAATTTCTTTATTTTTAAGAATTGTACATAAGAGTTTGTAAAATGAAAAAGTTACAAGTTTGGGGAATGGTGTGTGCTAATGAAAATTAATTCTCAAGATTTTATATAGACACACACGTTAAAATAATGATGGAATTTTGTGCTGATCGTATTCTTTGACCTTTGATTCTTTGAGCGCAGTAAGGCTTCACAATAATAGTTTCTTTGTATCTGTGTATATATAGGGCACACATTCCATTTTTTCTATGCTCATCTACTTCATCAGGTTGTACATCAGCAGGTTTTATGGTTACTCTTATCTTAATTTTGATTAGTTATTCTATGTTTAAGAACACTAAATTATTTTAGGACATTACAAGGTTCTAATTAGGCTGCTCTTTTTCTTTTTTTCCTTTATCCCCTTCTTTTAGCTTATTAAGCATACCGTATTTTTCGCTCTATAAGACACACTTTTCCCCCCCAAAAGATGGGGGAAAATGTCTGTGCGTCTTATGGAGCCAATGCCGCCTCCCACTGCACCGCGCTGCTCCGTGTCCCGCGCCTCCGTGTCTCAAGCCTCTGTGGCACAGAACTGCTGGCGTTATGCTTGGGCGGAAGACGGTTTCTTTTACAGATGGGGCGGGTGGGCCTGACATTCGCGCGCAGGCAGGACCCCGCCCTCCGCACCGGCCAAAGCGTTGCCTGACGTTCCAGCTGACGGGCGCAGGTCCGGGGGTCGCCAGCTGATGGGCGCAGGATGGTTGCCGGCGGCGGGGAGCGTGTCAGCGGCCCTTGGGGACCATGCAAGCCCTTGCAATTGCTCCAGCCGAAGAAGCAAGCGGCTGGGAGGCCGCGGCGGCGCCTACCTCCTGCGCCCGTCAGCTGGCGACCCCCGGACCTGCGCCCGTCAGCTGGAATGTCAGGCAACGCTTTGGTGCGGAGGGCGAAGGGGAGGCCGCCGCAGCACCGAACTCCTGCGCCCGTCAGCTGGCGACCCCCGGACCTGCGCCCGTCAGCTGGGAGGTCTGGAGACGGAGACGGCTGGCGTGGAGGGCGATGGGGAAGCGGTGGCTCGGTGGGTGGGGTCCTGCCTGCGTGCGAATGTCAGGCCCACCCGCCCCATCTGTAAAAGAAAAAGTCTTCCGCCCAAGCATAACCTTTAAAGATTTTAAGGATCTTTTAGAGGGAGAGAAATAGAGGGAGAGAAATAGTATAGTACCGGTATGTGCGTCTTATTGTCAGGTGAGTCTTATAGAGCGAAAAATACAGTAACTATCACATTATTTTTAGCTCATCAATTTACTCTATTAAACTTATTACTTATTATATTACCTTTGAGCTGGACAGATTAGGTTAAATCACCAAATGGAGAACTTGGTAAATGTAGTTTATGTTGCAGGCCAACAAATCTAAGGCTTGTGGATAAAATTAGATTTTTTTTTATTAGAATCCTGGGATTCACCTCCACAAATGGTAGAATTAAAATGTGTATCAGCACCTGAATTTGATGAACTTCATGTTTCTACAAAAGAAAACCCAATCCTGTTTATTCAAACTTTCTTCATTTAAGCAGAACACATCATTTTGTTGCTGCTGTTAAATAACTATTGTTTTATTGATTTGATTTATTGCGAAACACTCAGAGATTTAATAGCAGGGCTTTATATCCAAAAGCAAAAGATGTTTTAGGGTCTGTAGGAAAGCTATTATAGCATCTGCCTGCAACTTTCTAAAGCAAAACTGCCCATCTCAAATATTACACAAACATCTCCATCTGCTCTAAGGCACTAATTTACTTTCAAGTCCAAAACACTACACAGATCTATTTGTCATTTTGTCTTCTACTGTTGAAACAAAACATTGTCCCTTTCTTCAGAATCAAAATTATTTATGAATGTCAGCTGCTTGAGGTGTGCATGTAAGGATACAGACTCTATATAGTTTCTCCGATATAATTTCCATGTCTCTACTGTGACAAGCTGCAAGAAAGTTCCGTGGAGTGAATTCCGTAGGGGGAAATTTACAATCTAAACTTGCCATGTTCTGTTTCCAGGTAATAATGAGATCTAGTTATCTCCAATAATCCTGTCTCTGAACTATACCCCTCCTGAATCCAGCTGGAGGCTCAGTGTGATTGATCATCATGCAAAAGCAACATAGGGTATTTGTAAGTTAGAAAGAACTCTGTAGTATTTAATTACATATAGGCAGATTATAGTTTTGTAATATTGAACACAACATTACTTTATGCTCTTACTTGCAATAAGAACTGGTATAGCCCAAAAACATGCTTACTGTACCACCTATTCTACTACTTATAAGAATGAAATCTGAATAATCCGAATATGAAATGCTTTTTATATGGAATCAATAAATACTCTCTCTTAGAAAATAAGCAGCACAATGGCTCAGTAGTTAAGATGCTGGGCTTGTTGGCTAGAAAGCCGACAGCCCAGGTTTGAGACCCAAGCACACACAACAGGGTGAGTGCCTGTCTTTGCCTAGCTTCTACCCCCCCTCCCCCAGCAGTTTGAAAGCATGCAGATGCAAGTAGATAAATAGGTACCACTTCGCTGAGGAGGAGACAGCACTCTACAATGTCATTCTGGCCACATACCGTGGAAACGTCTTCGGACAGCCCTGGCTCAATGGCCTTGAAATGGAGATGAGTATCGCCCCCTATAGTTGACAATAACTAGTGGAGTAAAATCCACAGGGACTCCTTTCCTTTCCTTTGAAAATGAAATGTATCTTTAAGAAATAAATGAAAGGTGAAATCACATTTTACATGCAACTTCCAAAGACTAAAAACTACTTTATTATTCAGTTGTTGTAAGAAGTACTGTAGATATGACTGCTGCCTTCTTTAGGCTGATGTATTTTTTTACCCCAAGATGTTTGGCCACTGAATTATATCAAAGTGAAAAACCTCACCACTTACTTTGGGAGAAGAGACTTTGTCCAATATTCTGGCCAGAATATTTACGCTATTCTGAATTCATTATGTTTTAACACCCATAAGCCATTCCCCTTCCCAACCATAAACCTAGAAATATCCTTCCATGCTACTTTTTTTTAATTGGTAAGATTTTAGTTGAAGTCTGCTGGAAACTTTGAATTTATGAAGGAATTTATATTTTCTTAAGGTGTTAGCCTTTGATGCAATTAAATTTTGCAACATGTTTTGAAGAGATTTTAATCACATGTTTAGAATGATATATTGTATTGTATTGCCTGTTTGTTCAGAATCTACAATAATGAAAATAGCTCACCTGGTTTTATATACTTTGTAAATATTATCCAAGTCTGTTTTTAAATTATTAAGTTTTGCTCATTAGATTTCTACCACATCTTTCTTTCTGGAATTCAAGGTTTAAAAAAGGTAAAGGTTCCCCCCCTAAGTCATGCCCCTTCCTTCAATTTTTACTCAAAGAAATCAGCCTGAAGTAGGCTGGCCTGAAAGAGACTGAAGAGCAATTGCTGGTCAAAAGCTTTCTAATAAACATCTGGGTCCTGGATCTTCCCAGTCCAAGCCTTTATACCACACTGGGACTGTGGGTAATGCTTGTCATCGCATACTAATTTGTTCAAGTTGTTTCTCCCACCTCATTAGATTCACTCTTAAGGATTATGTTGTAAATAGGGTCATATTCAGATAGTAGTAATGCTTGAGTTATACATAAATAGACAGAAACCAGAAAAGAAATTCAGGCATAATGTTAATATTGTTTGGGATTTTGTGTTATCTACTTGCTCATTTACAGTAGAATTTAAAGATACTGTCTTTCCGAAGAATTCAATTGTGACAGAAAAGAGAATTGTAACAATTTACACTGTGAATTTTGTTCCTAAATTTTGTACTATACTGACTCTCTCTCTCTCTCTCTCTCTCTTTTTCTTTAGTGAGGAGACAGCAGAGGCAGTAGCAATAGATTCTCTTGGCCAGCCGAAATCTCCATTGGAAAAAATTATGGTCAGACTCTGCACATACCACCAGAAACACTTCGTCCGTGTCCTGAATGACATCTGCACTGAAGTACAAACAGGCTATGAGGGCCAGCAGTTATCTGGACCTGAAAACATGGATGTGTCTACTTGTAGTTCAGGGTGCAGCCAATATCATATTGAGAACCAGGAGCGTGGAACCTCTTGCTCTGAGTCAAAACTTCCTCTGTTGCTGGATGCAGAACCATCAGAGGCTCGTGGTTCTTTGAGAATACTATGCCATGCACTGAAACATGCTGTAGAACTGAAATCTACAGACAGAAGAGAAAACTTCAGTTCTATTGTCAGAAGAGACTTCCCTGAGCTTCCAACTATTAGAACAACTTCTATAAGTCCCAGAGATAGTCCCACCCAAGGGTACCTCACTGCCTCCAATACCCATCACTCTATTAAAAATCTGGAAGGGCAGACCTCCGCTACTGAGCAAGAGATGGGGGTTAGGAAAGGTGAAGATGACAAAGATCAGGTGCAAAGTAGAGGTTTACAGGGAGGCTATGTAGCTGTGAAAGCAACAAATGTACACATTAATGAGGAGGTTTTAGAGAATAGGGTAGGTTCTTTGAAGAACCCTTTCAAAGCTTTCCCAGAGGAAACTCGAGAGCCAGCTTTCACCACTAGCTCTCCACGGAGAGCAGACAAAGAGAATGCCTTGCAGTGCAGCTCCAAAGCCTCTGTGCACCAGGATACTGAAATCAATGACCAAGAAACAAGATCAAAGGTAGAGAATCACTATCTGGCTTCAGGGAAAAGCAAGGGAGGCTGCCACATGCATCCTGGTGACAAGACTCATGTGGAGAATGCCAAAGACATTTGGCTGCCTATTAATTCCATGCCAGCAGTGCACCACAAAACCACCAATGGGCACTCCCGGGTCAAGAGTATTTCAGCTTCTACTAAAAGTACACGTAAAAGCAAGAAGTCTTCAGGACTAAGAATAAATGACTATGATAATCAATATGATGTTGTCTATATTAGCCAACCAATTACAGAATGTCACTATGAGAATAAAAAGACAGTATCAGCAAGAAAGACAGCAAGGAAGAGCACTCGTGGATATTACTACAATGGTGAATGTTGTGAGCTTCCTACTATTCGCACCTTGGCCAAGATTTCGCATTCACAGGAGAATGGGAACACCCTGGAAACAAGGCCTGAGGTGCTAACAAGTCCTATCCAGGGCACTGTTCTTCCAAGTGGCAGCTATTTGGCTGCAGCTGAACCTGTGGGTAGCAATGATGATCAAAGATCTTCCACAACGGCCCCTATTCAAGAAGATTCCTTCAACGAAATAAGACCTGAACAATGCTATTATGAAAGCATCTCTTCTGAGGTCAATGTCCTGAAACAGAGAGAGGTTAGTCTTGCTGAAGAAGCTACCATGCCTGTTTCTCTATTTCCCTGCCCTATTTTTCATCCAGATAAAGACAGCTTGTTTGTGTCTTCACTGCAGACCATGACTGTCTCTTTCCCTCAACAGAATGAAGGGGACTTGCAAGACAGTACTAGCATGCTGGAGGCACATAGCTCTGGCTCTGATTCTTATAACTGTAATAGACCGAAAGAAAATAGTGACAGTATAGCAGACTCTGTTGTACATTCTGTGTCAGAAGCTGCTAATGATAAAACAGCTTCTCTGTTCTTGGGAAATGTGACTATCCCAGAACCGCCTATTTTGATAGAACCAGAACCCCATGTTAGCATGGATCTGTTGATGCCTGAAGTATCTGCCAATAACATGGACTTGTTGCCTCCACTAGAGGAGCCTGCTTCTATTATAAATGTATCACCATCTATAGAACCCCCACTACTTTCCCCTATAGACTTGGCAGAACCCTCAGTAGTACCACCTGCTCTAGATGTTCTGGAACCTTGTATGACATTTCCTTCAGAGATTCCCTATATTCCCAACAGTGTATCACCTGTGCAGCTTGTTGCCAGCCCAAGGAGCATGTCTCCTGTAATTCATCCTACCGGTGGGGTGCCTGAACTTCCTGCTCATATTGACCTAGAACTTTCAGAGACTCTTTCTGCAGAACCTTCAGTGGTAGCAACTATCAAAATGGATGTGGAGCTTCCCCAGCTGCTTTCCAATTTAGAAGCAGCAACGCTGCCTCTCAGTTTGGATTGTACTAACACACACGAAACCAGTGTTGAAAATTCCCAGAATTTGAAAGAAGGACTCTCTGTTGAATGTAAAAATGTGCTGCCCATTGTGGATGCCAATGAAGATAAGAGAGAGAAAAATATAAATGATACAATAGACATCAGTGAGACCACCAAGTCTGAGGAGGAAATAGAGGCTAATAGTGAAATTCCAGTAGAGCTCAAAACATCAGAAAAGGACAAGAAAGAGACTTCTTCCAAAACAAACATAGACAAAAAACGAAGGCGGGAGAAAAAAACCCACATTGTTTCGGATCGCTGTCTTCGAAGCCAGCAGTCTCTGGCGCCTACAGAGGACAGTTCTGAACAACCCTGTTCTTCCAACTCTGTTCAGCTTCCGCAGCTACAGATAAAGCTTTCTAAAAATCCTGGTGCTAAGCGTTTTAAGAGAGAGGTACATCTTGATGGGGCAACATCTGTCTGTGTTCCTAATGACAGACTCCATCACACACTGCTAAATGATAGTAGCAAATCTATTGAACAGCAGGCAGACGAGGGAAATGACATCACAATAAGGCAGACCTATAAGAAACTGATGGCAAAGGAATCTATAATAGAAGGAAGCCAGAATGGAGAAGATAACAAAGATAATCCAGCAGCAATGCTTGAAATTTGCTTAGAAGCCAGTTCTGACAAGAGAAGTGTTCATGTTCCAACAGAGGTGTCTGATAAGACCAAAAAGCAGATAGATTTAAAGCCAGAATGTTTAGAGAATTCTGACAGTCCTATGAATATTATTGAAGTATTGTCCAACCAGCATGAAACAAGTAGCTTCACATGTCCTAGTAGCAAGCATGTACGGCCAGAGAAGACAATGAAATGCAAGAAACCAGCTCTACAGTTCTATAACTTGAGACACACTCCTACTACATCTCATGTGGTCACTGCCACAAAAAATACATCAGAAAAAACAATTGTACAAGCAAACTCTGATATCATGACCACATCAGCAGATCCCGTTCTCGCAGATGAACCAAATGCAAGAAATGAAAACTCTGTTGATTTTAAAAGCATAAAAGTACTTTCTGACAAGCCCAGATTTGTGGAATGGTGTGCTGAGGAAGACAACCAAGAGCTCATCACTAACTTTAATGCCCAGTATATGAAGATCCAGAAAGGCTGGATTCAGCTGGAGAAGGAGGCTCAGCCAGCTCCAAAGGTCAAGAATAAATCTGACAAGTTGAAAGAGATTTGGAAAAGCAAGAAGAGGACTCGAAAATTTAAAGGATCCACTGAAGTCCAGAAATTGTCCCCTGTTCAGATGCTTTTCATGAAGAGTTTTGATATATCCAATATCTGTAAATGGTTTATGGAGACAACTGAAACCAAATCTCTGGTCATTGTGAAGAAGCTGAACACACGTATCCCAGGAGACATTCCTCTCATGAAGCTTCCACTCCAGAAGGGTTGTTCTTCTGGCATCTATCCCAGTTCTCTCCAAGCAGAGCGTCTAAAGAAACACTTAAAGAAGTTTGCTGCTATGACCCCAGCAAAAAATACTATAAAGATTCAAAAGCTGTGGACCAGACTTCGAGAGAATAGTGATCAGACTGAGTCAGAGCAGATTGTCAGTCCAAAGCCGACATCTCCCTCTGAAGTCAGCTTGGCGCAATGTATTGGACCCAAGAGCATCCAGCCTTCTCCTAGCATGCCGGTGCAGACTAGCTCACGGATCTTGAGGAAATATTCCAACTTGAGAGGCAAACTTCATGGATTCCATAGAGTGGTCAAACAGGAGAGGCCTGACTGTGTGTCCAAGCACCTCTTGACCGAAAGCAGTTCAAGCAACAAGAGCATGTGCATTAAACCCTTGATGTCCCCCAAGTTGGCCCAGCAAGTGAAAGCCATCCAACTTCCTACTAAAACCACTCTGATTGAAAAAAGAGGAAAGGGGAGAAAAGGGAAAGGAAAGTTACAGGAGGACACCTCCACTAAAGGCAGCCTTCAGCAAAGCAAAAAGAAGACACCAAATGAGAATATCAGGACGCTGACCCTGGGGCAGTTGAGTCCTTCAAGCAAGGAAAGAATCTCTCTTAAGAAAGTCAGTAAAGTGAAGCAAGCGGGAGCTCCAGCTACTAGAAAGCAGACAGCAGCAGGAAAAAACAGTAAGCACACCTCTCAGAATGAGAAGTCAAAGAAACTAATTGACTCACAACCTGGGAAAAAAAAGGCTCCCACCCACATGGGGAAAGCCAGTACCAGTCAAAAGGCCAGCCTGCTCTCTAAGCAGCAAGGGCTTATGAAGGCTCTAAAGGAGAAAATGGTGCGAGATCCCCCCAGCCAGTCTCTTAAAAAGGCAAGCAGTGAGAAAGCTCTCACCAGGTCAGTGAAACGAATTCAGGAGAACAAAACTCGGAGCAAGAGGAAGCTGAGGGCAAAGAAAGAACCTTCTCCCAGCAAGCGCAGGCGACTGGATGCAAAGTAGCAACGTCTTGGGTAGGAAGGGTGTCATAGAAACTCTTCCTCTTTCTTTCGGTAGTTCCACTGCTGAACAGGGAGGGAGGGAGGGGCGTTTGGGTATGGCTAAAGGCCAACTCCCTCTTGCTTTTTAAGGAGCCTTCGATTTGTGTTGCATCCAGAGTGGAGCACCATTTTTCTAAATCACAGAGAAAAGAAAAGTTGAAAGTTCCTGGAGTTGAACTGGAAGCATGACGGTTTCAGTTCAAAGTACAGTGCCTTATTTATCATTTTAGGAAACAAATAAATTCGTCTGCTTGATTTGAAGCTAGCAGTTTATGGGTTAATGCACATGCACTTGTACTGTAATGGAAAGAGAACCACCTGTCATGCACATCCCACAGAGTTTGATGGCATGTCTGCTAAGGTTCAGACAGGAACATTTCCTTCGTTTTGTGCATTGTAGCATACTGACACTGTTTAATTTGAGCAGGGCATTATGAAGCCTAAACCCAAAGCTGTTTCCTCTAATTACATTCTTTACTAGCAGGTCATAATGATGGATTTTATAATTAAGTTATTAATAATTACCTATGTGATGTAACTTTGGGCTTTAGGATTTGGCTATAAGCTAGCCAGGTTTTGTGTCAAAAAGATCTTTTATGTTTTTCAGTGATGATCAGCCATGCTTGGCCTACCCAAGAAACTAGTCTTGTTGGATGAATGGAAAATGTTACTCTAAGTAGAGATTGCTTGTCTCATGGAACATTGCTCTATACCTTAAAACACCTTAAAGGCTACATTTTAAAATGCTGCCTTAATTTCTGTTGGAGTAGTTCTGAAATGCATTTATCCCAAAATTCCTGAGGTGTTTTTTTTTTTTTTGGGGGGGGGGAATCCCTGTTTAAAATACTCCTGAATTCATAGGCATATTATGATGCTAAAATGAAGTGTATGGGTCTCAGAGAAAAGTATCTGTAAAGAAAAAGCATTGGAAGATGTTCCTTGTCAGAGATCTTTCGTTGCTGAAGATTTTTTTAAAATATCTTTAAACTATGAAGTTCCTTTTGCATAGATTTCTTCAGGTATCTGAAGGCTTTTTAAAAAGTAAAAACATGATAATGCTGGTTGTGAATAAAGTAGCAGCTGGAACGTTCTGGTACTTTCACAAATATATGGGTTGCAACTTAACATGAACTAAATTTCTCTCTGCCTCCCCCCCCCAAAACAGTGTAGGCTCACCAATTATTCATTAATTTTATATGCAATAGTCACTTTTCCAGTTCAGACATTTGTTTTGGATCGAATAAGAGGGTAAGCAATGTTTTCTCAAAGAAAACACCCTGTCTTGTGCTGCTCATTTGGAGGGTAACAGTAACTCCTTTTGCTCTGAGGCTAGAGAGAAAAGATAAGGACCAGCTTTTTATTTTATTTTTGTAGCTCTCGCTAAGCCACAACAAAGGCCTAGATCAGGAGTAGGCAACCTCGGCTCTTTTATGACTCGTGGACTTCAACTCCCAGAATTCCTGAGCCAGCCATGCTGGCTCAGGAATTCTGGGAGTTGAAGTCCACGAGTCATAAAAGAGCCGAGGTTGCCTACCCCTGGCCTAGATAATTGCTTAGAAACTTGTGCAGACCTCCTCAGGTTTGCCATGTTTGACTCCTGAGAGGTTCCTGAGAAGGCCTTCAGATAGTTTGACCTTTCAGAATAGCTTGCCATGGATACCAGACGAGATCAACAAACTCAAACATCTTTATGCATTATTGTATTAACTGGCCTGAACCAGCCTTTCCAGGCGGTGAGGGGGTTATTGAATATAAGAAAGAAAAAAAAACACTTTTGGGGGGAATGAATGTGTGAGGAAACTGATATTTTTTTTAAAAGGATAGAGAGTACATTAGCATTTGTACTCTTATACCAAAGCTCATTACTGCAGGCAGAAAATTGATAACTAGCTGTTATAAAGCTTCTCATTGATCAAGGAAATTGGAATTTGGCATCTGAAAATATGAAGCCCTGTTGCTCACCCTCTTACGCAAGGGTGACTTGAGAGGGTGCCCTAAAGCTACAAGACATATCAGGGTGGACCCATTTTATATAATATTTTAAAATGACTTGATTTTTTAAACTTCTCTTTTCATTGAAATCACGATGTATAAAATTAATTGTTGTAGGCATCAGGTTAGGCTTAATGTTCTCTGTAAAGATTCATATGAATTTGTCTGGTTGCTATTTTAATTGTAAATATCAAATGTGCTAGACATTCCACCAGGAGTATTAAAAATATTTAAGGAAATGTGTGAGCACATGTATGTGTATGGTGATGGCAAGGGGTTGCAAAAATCTTTTTCCCCCCCCAATTTTACATTATTACATTCAGATATGCATAAAACTTCCTGCTCCCTCTGCCCAGGGCTGCTTCCTAACAAACTGCTGGGTAGTTGGGGCATCTTTTGGTACATCACTTCAAGCTAAGTGATTCTGATTTAGATCTCTGCTAATAAAATCTTTCTACCACTTGTGCTGTCCCAGTTCTTGTGTGGTCTGGAGTCTGAAATGTTCCTTGTGTAAGCATTATGTAACATGCTTCAGCTTCAAATCTGCCCTGTTTTGCTGTAATCTGCTGCACATACAAAGTTGCATAACTCTGAGAAATCCAGGCCCAGAGTTGCTGATAGTTTTAGTTCTGCTTCTTACTATTTTGGGGGAAGGCCATGCCGTCCCACAGTTGAGCGCTCTTGGCTGCCGACTGGACATGCCTTTTCTATGTATACAATCAAAATATTAGGAAAGAAGAGATTAACCAAGCAGTTCAAAACAGTTTAGGTACTTTTTTAAAATATATGCAACTTGGTATAGAGAGCTAACAAGTCTTGAGATAAAAGAAAACGAAGTGTTATCTAATTGGAAGATAGTGCTCTGTGCTTCAGTCCCAGTGACACTCAGTTCATACCTGGCAGAGATGCTGAGCCTCTAATATTCGAATACCTTTTTTTAAGAGTTCCTTGGGATGTCCTTCAAAACACTTCTTTTTTGATATTCAAGTCTCTTCATTAAAATGAACTTCAAAACTTGGCTTGTACTATTGCTGGGTCAGACTTTTCTTTTTGAAACTACAGATTTAATTATGTGCCTTGCATTTTACCTTTCCCCCACCTAATAGATATTAGGTATGTAAGGTGCAATTTCAAGTTCCGATTACCATAGAAAAAAATCCCCAAACCTGTCCTGTTGTTTGGCTTTTATTGTATTTGTATCTTATCCCTCTTATTGTGGTCTTTTTCTTTGTCTGTCTACAATTCTTCCGACTGGCATGCTTCCGTTCTCTCTTAGTAATCCTACTCTTAATCAAACTCTTGATGCTTTGTGGTTGGGCATGCTAATGCATTCATTTTCTAGTTTCTAGCAATGGCTATACGGAATAGCTTAAACTCATGTAGTACATGAAGTGAGGAATTGCACCTTCACACCTTTGTCCATAACAGTAGCTTCTACAACAATCGGAGCACTCACTTTTCTCTGTTTATGGCTTTTTCTTTCATCCTGTCAAACACATATTCTCAACATGTATGTGCTTTACTTTGAAATAATAATAATGAACTGAAAAAATCATAAAATACAAAGATCGGCAAAAAGAAGTAGAATAATTCTAACAAAAGAAAACATAGATAGTACCAATAGTAGTAAGCTCCTTGGATGCAATTTCAAAACATCTGGAGAGCCATTTGAGGACCATTGACATTCACAAAATCGCAAAAGATAGTTGTATAGGTAATCCTTCACTTACAACTACAGTGGACTGGAACTTCGTTTGTAAGCCATTGTAGTCATAAGTTGAGGTACCACGTGACCAGAATTGATTTTACAACCATTTTTTCCAGGTCATTAAGTGAGTCACCATGGTTGTTAAATGAACCAGGTGGCTATTAAGCAAAGTCATAAGTGTGAACTCATTTTATCTGATGGGCACTTTTTGCATGAAGGTGCAAAGTAATTGCAAAACATGATCATGTGAACATGGGACATGGCAACTGGTTATAAGTGCAATCCATTTGCCAAGTGCCTAAAATGTGATCATATGACTGCAGGGGTGCTGCATCAATTGTAACTACTAGGACAAATAATAAGTAACTTTTTTTTTGAATCTGTCATAACTTCAGACAGTTGTTAAGTGACCACTCATAAAGGACTAACATTTTTTTGGAACAGCTTATATCCTGCAACAGCTCCTTTTAATAATATTAAACAATATCTGCCTATCCCAGTCTTTGGGAAGAACTGAATAGGTGAACAAAAAGGGTTTTCTTTTTCTGCATTTATCCAAGGGGCTGCAGAATACCTATCTTAGGATAATCTCAGGAGTTCCACATTTCCATTGAAAGTAAACTGTTCTCTTCTTTAAAAGCTTGTTTTTTTAAGCAGGCTTCCTAAATAATTAGAAATGGATGGAGTCTGAATGATTTTTCTGGCATGTATGTAAATCATTTACATAAATAACTTTTTACATTGCTATCAAAAGTTTCTAAATTGTGTATGTGTGTGTTTGCATTACATTCAGATGTAATGTGAATATATACGTATATGTGTGTGTAATATGGGCATGATGCTGTGTTTGTACAGCATCTGGCTAGAGATTAAAATGCTTTCCTAGGTGCAGGATAAATTCTGCCTTTTCTCCCTAGGTAGTCACAAAATGGAAGAATAATAATGTAAATAGAAATAGTTTTAAAATATTTATTTCCTGTATTTTGTGCTGACAAGTCTCAGGAGTGCTGTTTGTTTGCAATATTATAGAAAGGTGATGGTAGGTTTTTTTTAAATAAAGGCATGTTTCATACTTCAAATAGCATTAAACAGAAGAACTGTCATATGGTCTGGAATTTATGCTGCAAAATCAAAATCCTAGATCTTACCGAGATGTAAGCCTGTGCATGGGTTAAATATTTCACACTCATCATTAAATATTCCTCTATGTTAAAGTCAACACCCCTAATACAGAAATCTTTATATTAAGCATTATAAAACCA